TGCAGTTACCTCCATAAATCTCTCAATTTTGACCCATGAGCACAACAAGCGTGGGACAGCATACGTGTGGTCAAACCCCTGCAAGCAGTTCCAGCAAGATGATCATTTTAAAAAATGTTCTGCAGAACATCATAGTAGTGCATGCTTGCAATACCAGGGTATCGCTAGGTGGTTGCTAAGATGTTCTGAGTGGTTGCTAGGTGGTTTCCTGGATGGTTGCTTAATGGTACAAGTCAAAAGAGCCCACAAACATGTCAAATTCTCATATTCTGGTTCTTAGATATGGCTCAGGTCTCTCCTCCAAAGTAACTCTATGGGAAATTTCCCTATTTTACTGACCATTAGGCAACAACCAATCTTTCAGCAAAGTAACAGCACAATTCTCAACAAACCACATGATTTGAGCTATTATTCATGTCTGGATCATAATGAGAAGGGCAACATTACTGCACTGCACCATCAAGCAGTGTGTTCTCTCTGTGCTTTTCTCCTTAACTCTGGGCAGGAACTGTGTGCGTATGTGTATATGTGTACACATGCATGTGCGTGTCTGAGGAACAAAAAGAGAGAGAGAATATTGGGGCTGTGCATTATTGACAAAACCATGATGCAGAATGTCAAGGCCTCGGGGTGTAGGGAGAGAGAGAGGGGGAGAAAAAGAGAGAACAGAGAGCCCTGTTAGATATAATGGCACTGGTGTCTTAGAAATTTTAGGGCATCCTTCTGGTCATGTGCCTTGATGTCATTTCATCGAGTATTTCTGACAAGACGCTGTCTGTGTTTACAAGAGCATGTGCCAAAAAAAAACAATCAGTATACTAGTATTTTGTTCTCCTGTCTTCTAAATTCTTTGATTAAACAACAGCAACATTTTGATTAAACTGAATAATTTCTGAAGGATCGTGTGACACTGAAGACTGGAGTATCGGCTGCTGAAAATTCAGCTTTGCCATCACAGGAATAGATTACAATTTCAAATATATACAGTAAAAAAAATAAAATAAATAAAATAAAAATACAAAATTTTTTCACAATTTGTATATTTGTCAATTTATTTTTGATCAAATAAATGCAGCCTTGGAGAGCAGAAGAGACTTTAACACTTTTTTAAAAATCCTACCAGCCCCAAATTTTTGAACAGTAGTGTATGTTATATTGCATTTCTATTTAAAGCATTCTGAGTAGCCAAGAGTATGTGCAACTATATGATGAGTGATGTAATGCACAGTGAGACAGTGCGTCAAAAACAGACGTTACACAAACAAATGACAAATGGGCTGAGAAAGCTGACAGAGCAAAACTGTCTCTCTCTCTCATCTTCGGGTTGGGTTCTACAGCATTAGAGTGACTATACGAATACATTTTTTTGTGACTAGACATTTTAGCAGAAATAGACTGTACTAAATAACATTACACAGGGAAAAGCAGTGGCTCTGTCTCCCCCCATGCCATCCAACAGTGGAAAATCCCAGCCAAACCTACCAGAGATGAGTAAGACAGCATTAGAGGAAGAGGTGCAGAGGAGTATTTGTATCAGTGTTTCTGTAACTAAGAAAATCAAGAGGAACTATAGCTGTGTAATTCAAATACACTCATCTCAGAGACACTTCTGCTTTCCCTCATGCAGCATGAATGTTATTTCAGAATATTAAACCCTCTTCAGAAGGAGGATGTGTGTGTGTGTCTAATTGAGGATGTGTGAGGAACTAATAGAAGGTGAGGATCAAAACTATCCTTTCATATTCCACAGGGATGAATAGGATTACCAATACTAAATCCAAGCACATCCGCAAAAGTCTTCTATCCTGTCTCCATAGAAATCTCTTTAAGAAATACAAGATCAAAGTAGAATAATCCACATGGTCATTGTTTTACTTTACAATCATGAATCTCACATTTGTACAGTGACTTTGATGTTTGTGTGTATTAGTATTAAAATCTAAAATAACCAAGTGACCAAGCTAAAATCCTCAAACTAAATCCAAAAGATAAAAAACTGGATTACACCACACATTCATATTTCACATGGACAGCACTCACAAAAACTGGATTTGTAAATCTGTGAAAAAATAACTTCATAATCAAGGCAACAATGATAGAATTAGAATTAGAGACTGTAATGTGAGCTGCCAGTGTGATGGAGATCATTTTACCTGATCTGACCATTAAAATGATTTTGCTGGTGTAATCTATAGTCAGACAGATTCAGTTATATTAAATAATACTATTAAAGGAATAGTTCACCCAAAAGTGAAAGCAGGAAAGATGGACTTGCTAAGGATTACATTTACCAGTGTTATTAAATATTAACTTTAAGTAGGCTAAGTCTTACATCACGACATCAAATCATAATCCAAATGTAAAAATTGGTGAAAAGGAGCATGCACAATTAAATATCAAATATTATATATCCAATATGGACTGATACAAATAACATTTTTAAAAATCAGTTATATCATCAGATAATTCATACACTGCTGATGTAGTAAGCATCCCCATTTTGTGAGTTGACTTGACTTCTTTACAGTGTGTTATTGAGTTAAATCAAGAAAGCGCATAAGCAAATCTCATGATGAAAAGCAAAAAAAATAAAAAATAAATCACACAGAACTTCTGCATTATATATATTAGAGGAAGTCTGAATGTATTTGTGTTGAAGTGTGCTTTTCCCACAAACCAGTCATAAGTGGTTGCATGACATATCTCTCAAATATGGCCACAAGGTGAACTGTAAATGAATCAAAAAGATTTGTCTGAACTTGCCTGTCAAAGACCAAAGGCTGTGAGAAATCGCATCATTACAAAGGGCAGTTAATCTCACAGAGCAATATTATTAAAGCAGACAAGACGAGAGAGAGTGTTTGACGAATTCTGCTGAGTGCCCCAGTATGTCCTGAAGCTTCAGGGGAATCTTGCTGCCTGTCACTGAATCCACGCTGTCTCTGCAGGACAAAGCCAGCTGCTCTGTTCGACAACACGGCTTGCGAGATAAGATGAGTAGCTGTGTTAGATGATCCAGACAGGGTCAACCGTAAAAAGGGACCAATCAAAGTGTCTACTGGGCCAGATAAATCACTGGCCGTATACTTTAACATTAGGCTTACATTCAGTCAAAAATTCTAACAACCTGTATAGAATGAATTCCTGATATAAAAGCATCTGACGTCCACTGTTTCTTCACCCTACCTGAACTCATGCTGATGCTAGCAGTTCTCACACAGGAAGAAAAGGTGCTTACAAGCTCATAAGGGCGGACTACTGTTTCTATGATGGACCAACACTAGATCAACAACTTCATTTTAAACATTGATGTTTGGGATGATGTTGACAGTTTGGCGGTTTTGAGTAGTGAAATTTCCATTGCTGATCAGAGCATAAATGGAGTGAAGAGAGAGACTTTTAGAGGGAAATAATACCACAGCTGTCCAGTGGCACACAGAAACTGGGACGCAGTCAAATTAAGTCCCTGTGCACCAGTGCTTGTGGGAGATTGCAAATTTTCCTGTTGTTCCCAAATATTTGTAATTTCAACATATTTGTAATGTCAACATAATTGGATGAGAGCAGATTACCAGGACTGGCAAAAGTACAATGCAAACTGAAGAAGCATCTTTCTGAAACAGCAATATTTGTGCTTCTGGCTGTGGCAAAGAAGCTTAATCAAATAAGAAGGACATGTTCATAAATATTCAACTGTCTCAGTAACTTACTAACACAGACAGACCAGGGTCCAATATTTCTGATCCTAAAGGAACAACCTTTCACCCTCAAGAACACACATAGGTGAGTCTGAGATATGCCATGGACGGTCAGCATTCCACATGACCTGGGTAAAAGAAAATGTGCAGACTCAGATGTCACACACCAATACAAATCACACACTTTCTGACCTTTCATCCTGCACACACACAAAGATCCACTCACAAGACCAGATAATGCCAATCAATGAATCACTGTGACAAAACAGGCTACTAAATTGAACAAATAAAAGCAATCTATTCTGTATAGGCTCAGAGTCATGTCTGGCTAAAACTTCCTACTTACATTTTCTCGCAAAAGATGTTTTCACTCAATATGAGTCAAAACCATAAGAAAATCTATATTACAAATTATAAATATTTACAAATCTGGCATTCACTTCAATTAATGAATTTAGATGTTTCAAACTATTTTTCTTTATTATTTATGAGAGGTTTGACACATGGTTATAATATAAGTTACAATTATACTTAAAAAACAATAAAACATGCCTGGGTGACTTTAATCAACTCATGGCAAGTAAAATATTGAAAAAACAAACCGTAACAATGAAGGATGGCTTTTATTTTACATGATTTTTAACTGTTTTTATGAATGTCTAATCTATTTTTATATAAGAACTGTAGAATTATCTATATCAAATAAAAAGAAAATGGAAATAGATAGACTGGTATTCACTGTGCTAGAAAAATATTCTAGCATTCATTTCAAAGTGTAATTTTGCTATTTAAAAAATTATGGTATAGGTAAAGTTTTGTCACAATATGTTTTGTCCCATGTTTTAAAAATGAGTTCGATGCGCTAGGTGGTTCTTCCTAAGCTCTATACGTTTGGGATGTAGAGCCATCTAAGGTAAAAGTTAAATTCAGTGCAAGTCAAGATTTTACGGAAAATCCACTTATATCTGCAGTAAGCAGAAGCACTGGAAGAGTAAGTGCTAAAAAAGCAACCTGATATAACCTATATGTCATTTCTGGTCCATATAAACACACAGTTTAACACAACTAACCACTGACACCAGAAATCAACATCAATCCTGCACTTTCCACAACACACCCATGTCTGGAGTTTTGACATGTAGGATGTTTTAACTAATAAAATGCAACAAGTTCTGAATAGTATCAATCTGTAGTCTGTTTTACCAGATTACGAATAAACCAACAGCTCCCTATAATAATAACAACCCACTGGTTGCTATTACTATGAACCTGAGTGAGTATGCTGACAGCTGTCAAACTCACCAGCTCGTCCAGGTTGCGCATATCCAGCAGGACTCTCTTTTGCTGCTCCCGCCAGCGGGCCAACAGCTCTGGGTCGGGCTCGCCGATGCTCTCCTTGCGGCTGTACGTCCTGCTCGGCGGGCTCTGCGACTCCCCCAGAGCCTCCGACAGGTTCTCCTGGTCCCGTATCTCCTCCTCGATCTCCTCCTCGAGTTGAATCAGCATGGGGGCCAGCATGCCAAATTTGGCCCCCCGGCGAGCCACCTCCAGCAGGCACAGCACGAAGTTCTTCTCGTTACACCTCTCCACCAGGTCGTTGGTCTCGAACATGAGCACATCTTTGATCCAGAGCTCCAGCCTGCACCAGCCGATGAAGTTCGACACGTTGTCTCTGGCCAAAAACGATCCCGGTATGACGTTCCTCGACTGGAAGACCACGTCCTTGCTGGGTATCCGCAACGAAAGCGCCGCATCTGGATACTTCGTCTTGAAGTCGTGGGCGGCGCGGTTCACGTTTTTGGCATGCCGGCAGAGCGCGCAGCCGGTCTCCAGACTCTCCATGAAAGTGTCCGCTGTGATGTCCAGGTCGTACAGCGTGTTCAGCCATTCAGCCAGATCCTCCTTCATGGCATATAGGTATTCCTCGCTGGACTTAAACGGCCTGATGCTTTTGGAGGCGGCGGATTGAATGTTGCTCTGATCGGCCATATTATGGGGAAACGTGTATCAATCAAGGCACGAAATGACGCACGACTGTCTCGTACAGTAATCCTCCATAAACAGCGTTAGGAATGGCATAACGACGCGCGGTAGGAGCTCCTAAAGCGGGCCGCTTTGACTCGCAGCGCCGCGGTACAGCTGTGGGATTCCGCGATGGATTCCGGATGTCTGTGAGATACCCGCCTCCTTCAATGACCACATAGCAATTACTCATTCCCCCTGTGGAAGTCCGGACCGAAACAGAAACAGGACAATTATCAGTACATGACAGCTCGGCGACATACTGTCCCACTCGCTATCGTTGTGCATGAGGAACATCCGCATTGGCTAACAGCGCTCCGCAACACCTCGTTTATTCATTCGTTCACACCAATTCGGAAGACGCATGGCCGATTGAGGCAGGAAGGCAGCCCCGGTCTACTGGGGCACTTTAATAATAATCTTCGTCAGTTGGAAATGATCCGACCGTCCTATGCGCCTCCTCCTGCATAACATGTTGAGCTGCAGTGGCTTATACATCGAGTTACATCTCATTAGAGGATCAACGGCAACTTTATCCCTGTGCATCCCCTTTCTTTCAATTGCCCAAGCCGCTACCAACGGCCAAACCGAACCGTTGGTACCAATGCCAAAAAAATTTACATTGGCATTCGGTTGATACCAATCATTTTGATTTAAATACAGTTATTGTTTTGCAGTCGAGCGAAAATACAAAAACGAGGATGTTGATTTTGCTTATCATATCTCCAATTTGCATGTTCGTTGATGGGAACAGGCATCCCGTGATTGCTTCACGCTAAAAAAACAAAAAACAAATCACATTTAATCAGCGCGAAATTGATAATGTACGTTAATATACGTTTGCACGCGCTGCCTGTCCGTTTAAATCAATCACGATCAAGTCAACTCAAACTATGTGATGAAATTAAACTTACTTATCTACCTTCACGTGATAATAAACTGTGGCAGGGCCAATATAAGGATAATGTACAGTCAAGGGAAGCAAAGTGGATGGGTATTGTACCATGATGAACTGACTGTAACGTTTCACTATCCCGCTTATTTATACAACCATTTACCAAATAAATAAATACAATGGCATTATTTTGATTTATTTACTTATTATTATTGTTATACATGTTATATATTGTTTACATTAGATTAAAGCTTCCGCTAAAAAAAAACAGTCCATCTAAGTAGGAAACAAAAGGTTTTTCAACAAGACGAACACTACAACAAATAACATTACAATATTATTTGATGTATTTCTAGCTGCAATTCAAGTCGCTTTTTAAGTGGACTAGTTGGCAAACTTATTTAGCTACAATTCCACACAGCTCATTAGCTACCTATTCGTTGTTGCGCCGACCGATGTTTGCGCAAACTGGCGATTCTGACTCGCGTTACAAACAGCGAGACCGCGGAGTAATTTTAGAGACATGCTAGTAGCGCCAGTATGTTGCCATGGGCAACGGTAAAACGTCGAGATTGACTAGTAGTATTCTATAGTCTTTGGTAGTAGTCAGAATCAAGTATTCAGGAGAGTCGTTAAATAAATATTTGTCATGTGTTTGGATGTCATATACTTGATGAAAATGTAAGACTATCATCTTGCTCTACTCATGTAAAGATCGCTGTAGAACTTAATCTCTCTTTGAAGATCAATCAATGAGAAAACTCAGAAAGCATTTGCCACTTTATCTGCTCCATTGCTCAGTAAGGTCAATCTTTCTTTGATCCACATTCCCAAAAACTCTTTTGCCAAACATTAATCAGGACTGTCCAATTAAATTAATGTGGTTATCCAACAAGCTCTGTTCCCGTTGGGCTCCAAACCTTTAGTTAAGGCTCACTCACACTAGCCTACTTTGCCAATGGTCTTGGTCATCAGCAAATGAAAGGGGCCATTCTGAATAGGCAGACAAAAGACAGACATGAAGACATCATCATGATGTTAATCAGCACTCATTTGTCTCCTTTAAACAATAAGTTCAATGGCTGTAGGACAACTGATGGTCTGTCTTCAGAAACTCAACTCTTAACAATCTTAGGTCAAAGCCACACTAGGGCACATGCTGTGAATGAGAAGATAAAACAAGTTTAGAGAAAAAGAACTTAAAATAGAAGTATTTTGATGTCATGGTTTAATATAATCCTTCCGAATGTGTCTTCCTATAGTGTTGTAATAGCGGATCAGAAATTATCCTTATGAGGAAAACTCCAGAGTCCAGATTCCCACCCCAGTGTTATCCTATTTTAAGAGTCACTTTTGCTTGGATGTTTTTGCAGTACGTCACCAAACAAGCCAACTGCAGATTTAAATCACTCCCACTCTCTTCTAAATATAACATCAGACCAACCATAAGACATTATTACGATTGTGCATTGTTGAGCTTTTCTTCACACTTTCTTGTCTGTATGATCCCATAACATGAGATCTGAGAGCATAAGTGGAAATGTCTCCATTTTCTTTTTGTTTTACTTCCTGCTCTTGTTGCTTAACGTCAGGCAGTGTGCTCTTCAATAGCTTGGCCGGGACTGCTGCAGTGTGTGATTCCAACAGCAGCCATGCAGCCAAAGGGAGGCCCTTGTTTTGATTTGAAAAGCATTGGGTTGTTTCTTTAAGAGCTAGACGGAGGGGAGGACACACAGCGAGAGGAATGAGATCATTCTTCGAGGACTGGATGAATCAGCTTTTCTGTGAACACATACACAAAACCAGTTCATTCCACAGCTCTCCAGCAAATGAGCATTTGGCTCCTAGATGTCCATTAAAAAGGCATTAGTCAGTGAAATTGAAATGAAACACTGTCATTCCATGTAGCGAAATATTTTTATGACTGAGAATTACCGTTGCTTAATTTAATTTCTGAGTGTCATTAAATTAGATAAAAACTTAATATGGGTTTTGTAAGAAGGCTCCAAAACTGGTGCAAGCATCCTATCAGCTCCCGCCAACACTTCAATTAACAAGAGCAACGATTCAACACAAGGTGCTTGGTGAACACATGCCAGATGCTTTGCAGACGAAGTAAAAGGTTGATAACGTTCTCAAGCTTCACATGAGACCACTGTTTCAACTTGTTCTGTTATAGAACGGTTAAACAGAGCAGAAAACATGCTGCGTATTTACGTTTACAAATGTCTTAAAAGAAACATTCTGCACAGCTAGTGATTGAACAGCTTTACATTTCCCCCTCCAAAATTTGACTTAAAGATGGCTACAGTAACTGTGCATACTTCTTAAAAATGCTGCACAGCATTTTTGATGTTGAATTCTTCTTGAAACACAAGAAAAAAAGACATCTACTGATCACACAAGATTCAGATAAACCAATAATGTTCATCAAGAGGCTCTAATGGAGGCTTAGTCATGCTCTGATAACAGAGCTGGCATCATTTTACTTGGTACTCAGCAGATAATCTGCTCCATCATGCACATGGTAGCCATGGAACCAGAATTAGAATGAGACACCTAACGGTTAAAGCTTGAATTGCACCCATTTTAATGGGCAGGGCATGTCATTAGATTTACACAGATAAACGTTATCTTACCGTTTTGAAACGTCCTTTAAAAACAGCTCTAAGAGCTTAACGCATGAAGCAACAAGTGGCTATAACACCTATTAACTAACTAATTTAAAGACATGAATAGACAGCATGTATAAAGTAATAATTGCTGCCAGCTACAGTAAGCAAACACCACAATATGAAAAGGATAAAGCAAACCAGCTAAACAATGGAGGTGGAAAAGTTTATTTTTTTAAAAACAGTTCAAAGTACATAGTTACATAGAGAGACACAAGACAGACATCCCCAAAAACGTTGACTACAGGGCAACTGAGTATCTTAAAAGGAAAAAAGGCCATTACTGCATACAAAAAAGCAACCTCAAGGTTTAACTAAAACCACAATGTGGTACTGAAATTAAAAAAGGAAAAGCAAACAAAAAAGATTGCCATGTATGAATATGGAATCATAAATAAAAATGACTTTAAAATTTTCCTCTATGTAAATTTCCTTTTGCTTGATGCATGATCTCAGTAGGGTCTGTCTCTGCGCTCCTGACGATGATCCCTGTAAAAGAAAAGAAAATATGTATCAAGTACATGAAGCACCACACAGACTAAAGCATATTACATTTATCCTGTTATACTCACAGTAAGTGACGCTCACCTCATATCCATCTTGCCTGGGGGTCCCATGCCTCTCCTGCCCCCTCTGTCCATGGGAGGACCACCCCTGCTACCTCCTCTGAATCCGCCCTTGTCCATTCCACCACGGCCTCCTCTGAAGCCGCCGCGATCTCCTCCCCAGCCTCCACGCATGCCCCCCGGACCACCGCGATCCATTCCCCTGCCGCCCCTCATTCCACCCCTGCCACGATCACCACCTGAATATACAGTTAAAACAAATCATGCTTTTTCTGTTACACAACACATATCTCAGTCACAGACACTTAGAGACCAGCTGATGAGGGAAGACTGTTAATCTGCGTGTACCTGCAGGAGGGAAGGAAGGAGCTCCAAGGCCTTCAGGTTTTGGAGCTTTACATTGGTTACACTCCGTTCTCCAGGAGAAGTTTTGATTTCCACATCCACTGTAAAGAGATTTGAGGTAGACAGCCAGAAACAGACATCAACATCGTTTTTATGCTTATTTAGCAGGCCTCATGTATTGCAAAATAGATGCCTCATATTTTGTTTGTTTAAACCATTATGCATCACTCACGGGCTGGGACATTCCCAGTCTCCAGCTCTCTTCTGCACATTGCCTCCGGGAGGCCCGTTCCAACCCATTCCACCTCGAGGGCCTCCACGAGGGGGGAAACCACCTCTCTCTCCTCCTCTTCCCATACCTGGTGGCATAATACAAAGCCACCATTACAATACAGAAACACCCTCCACTTGAAGGATTCCTGCTGGCTTGAGGATTCATCATACCTCCACGGTCACCTCTCATTGGCATTCCTCCTCTCATACCCCCCATCATGGGTTTCCGGCGAGCCATAGACACCTTTATCCTCCGGCCTTGGAACTCCTTACCTGAGGTATGAGCAGCAGGTAAATGATCGAGAACATGTTTAAAAGTGAAAAGAGCTCTTGAGTGGAACAGGCAGAATAATGTCAACCAATTGACACAACTCATGGAAATAATCTTGAACGTGACCCGTCCAAGTTAAAGTTAAAGAAGAGGCATTCAACAAAAATGTAAGAAACCAACCATCAAAGTATTCAACAGCAGCTTTGGCAATGGCAGGCTCCTCATAGGACAGTGTGGCATCTCCCTTTGGTTTGCCAGTGTCTTTATCAGTGTAGATGTTTATGGCTGGTTGGTTTAAACGCCGATTTATCTATGACAAACAAAAATGGCTATAAAAATGGAGAGTCACAATAGCTGAATTTTGATGATAAAAAGCTGACATTGTTATTTAGAATGAATCTAGTTATGTAGCTTCTCACCCGTAACGATCCACAGTGTTTGAAGAAGTCGGCCATCTCTGGTAGAGTTGCATTCTCAGTTAGGCCTGTGATGTAGATTGTGCTGTTCTCAGAGTCCTGCTCTCCTGGATGCCCTGTGTTAATGAGAGAGAATCAAATTTAACACTTTTATATCCATTCAACTTACACTAGGGTTTCTGAAAGAAGCCTCTCATGCTACAAGG